CAAGAAGAGGAGAGAAGAGAGAAAGGATTAAGAGAAGAGCACTGTACTTGGGGTTGGCAATAAATGCGATGTGTTGCAGTCCCGTGAGGTTGCTTACGATTTTCACTGACTCTATATGTATATGTATATTTACGTCTCACGTTTATTACCTTGGGACAATTACATGCTCCGCGTGACTTAAAAGAAAAAAAAAAGAGAGACAGGAGTAATTTTGGCTTTCATGGTTTCTTTTATCTTTTGCACGCATACATATTTTCTCCATATATACTCTCATTCCGTAGAAATGTCATGAGGAATATTCCCATGTGAATGCATGCACATCACCATGGTTTTCAGTGCATAGATCAGTTGATATTATGTATCAATAATCACTTATAATAGCATGGCACTTAACGGATAAGAAGTGTTCTACGTGTGTGTGTGTGTGTGCGTGTACAGCTTTTTCCTTTAATCTATTAATAACTAATTAATGATATAAAATAAACCAAGTTTCTACAACTTCATTGTAATTAGTTTTTTATACTATTATGATCAATTTAATGTGGTTAAAAAAAATCAATTAAAATGTAGTTGGTACTTTTACCCGAATCTATAAAGCTATAAATTCGAATTCCGAATTAGTACATTCCTTTAAAAAATTAAGTGGTTTTCATCATGAGGGAGCTAGGGTGACTATGTTTGCTCACAACACCAGAGGTTCGAGGTTGAAACATTTTTCAAAGGGCATGTCCTCGAGAAGTCTCTCTTCCCACACTATTTACAAGGCTTGAATACTAAACCATCTTCACCTAACAAACATCTCCCTTTGCAAAATTATTTCTCAATCAAGGAGATGTAGTAAGTTGTTTGTGAGTGTGATGGTAATAAGGCACTAGATTTGAATGGTTTTAACATTAAGTTTATATTTATGAGAAAATAGATTCGTTTTGAATTCATGGTATTTTTGAGTGTTTGAAAACATAGATAAATTTATGAAGTCGATATATTCTGTCTTTTATTTTCTGTATCTTTAAATGTAGCAAATAATTTTTTCATCCCTAATTGTAGAAACAGTCAAATATAAAAAAAAAAAAAAAAATTAGATCCATAAAGTTAGTAGGATGCATTTATAAAATTCTAGTTGAGGTTTTGACAATGAGACTTATGGGGACAACCATTGATATATTGTATATTGAACAAATAATAGTTGATTAAGATTCTAAAAAGAGGAAATAAAAACCTAGTTTTCAAGGAGAATTTGAAAAAACATACAATTTCTTTCATCCAGTCGCATATTATAGACATCATGCTGCAGAAAATAAAATTCAAAATTGTAATACCTTAACTTCGACAATACAAACTTTTATTTAATTGACATTTGAAAAAAATTAAAACTAAATTATTATTATTATTATTATTACAACCATTGTTTGATCCAAACTCATTTTCCTTCCAAGTTTTTTGAAAGTTAAAACCTTAAATTCAACAAACAATATGTTAGCTTTTTTTCGCAAATAATCATTGCCAGTGCTTTGAATTCATTAAGAGCGGGGTTATTCTTGTTGCTTATTACATGACATTTTCTCATTTTTTCTAAAAATAAAATTTAATATCTATATATGTATACGTATATACACACATCGTAAAATACAAGTTCTTTTTTAGTTGACTACAAGAAATCTTAACCAGTTATATAATTTAATTCTAATTATATATCCCAATTTAAATATATATATATATATATATATAATAAAACAATAGAATTAAATAATAATATCTATAGTAGTTATTTATTTAAATTTTTTTAAACATAAATTTTTACTTGACTATAAATATATACATGTTTTTAGTTTATCACAAAATTTAAAATTATGTATTATATAATATAAACTCTAGATTATCTATTTTTTCTCACTCCTTATTTATCATGCCTATTTTCTACCAAAAAAATAAGATATAATAATTCTTTTATATTTTTATTAGAAATTTCTTTACTTTCATAAAACTTTTGTTCGCATAAAATGATATTGATATTATTTTCTATATTAATCATATATATAAAATTATATTATGCGTGCAGCATAGACTTGAAAATCTAGTTAAAATTTTGAAACTATTTTATTATTTTTTCTACACAAATTTTCCATTATTCTTTTTAAATTATTATCAAAAAAAGAGAAAACAGAAAAACAGAATTTCAATGGCTCAAATACTCTTCATCTTTCCTACAAACCCATTATCTTTTCTTTAAGCTCGTTCTTCTCTTTCCTCACAACCCCCTGCAAAGGAGAATCGGCCTGTTCAGTATATTATAACAGTCTCGACCAACAAACAATAAGACCATATATGATGACAAAGACATTCCCTACCCATTTATCAGTTTTATACATATGTATATATTATAAATGTTATACACACTGGACAAAAAAATAACAAGAGAGAAAAACGCATGTCTACTAATTTGCATACGAAAAACTACTGAAAACAAGTAAGAAGTAATTTATCCTATATGATATATATCATAAGAGTCTAAGACAACATTAAGAGGAAGATTCAAAAAGAATTCAACTTGGCATATGATTAATTCTCCCCTACGTTATTCTAACCTGACCTTCTTAACCAATCACTAAATCTTACTACTCTATCCTCCCTGTTTCCTGCATTGTGACAGTAAGTTATAAAGGATAGGCTTCACTTATGGCTGACAGTTTTCGGATGCAAATTAGAGAAGCTTTTGGGAGTTTATATGTGGGCTAGAAGAACATGTCCCATGCAATTATGCATTACGCATAGAAACTGAAATGTTGTCCGAGTAGCTTTGAAATTCCATAGGGGCGGCCACAATACCGACATATAAGCAATATATATATATATGGTGGCCATTCCTCAAATTATTCAGTTTTGCAGCATGCGCCTATTGTTGTCAACAGCTTAAAGATCGAAACCATCACATGTTTGTGCAGAATTAGGACTTCAGCAGTTAAAGTGTCAAAATTGCAGCACCCAAATGCACATGATACACAAAAAGTTTGAGACATAACAGTAAAGACTTACCTTTAAGAGATCTTTCAAACTCCTGCAATTGCAGAGTGAAGCCAAAATTAGGAGCTGCCACTGGTCGTTTCCTCTTCACATGTTCTAGTGCTTGTGATAAGCTCATACCATACTCCTTCATCAAATATGCAACAACTATGGTCACACTGCAAAGCATTGATGAGAAATTATTTTACTTCAAACTTTCCACCACTTTATCAAACAAAAGAGGTCACAGATCACTTCCCAAAGCACACAAATGAGTTCTCTTTTATGCCAGAACTTTTATTTGTCGTGATATGAACCACTAGAATCTAAAAAATAATTCAGAGAGCAAGACATGTTATGTTGCTGAAATATAAAATTGGTAATTTATATAGACACTACTCCTTGTCCACTTAATTCTCTAAAAATTTCTTTTAGATAAAATTGGTAATTTATATAGACACTAATCCGAGTGTTCATCACAACAATGTTCTTACAGAACTCACATTCTACCATGATATAATTCTTCCTATGTTGTTTTGCAGACAGCTGCAAGACAATGGAACACATTGCTCTAATTTCATTGTACTAGCAATACAGTAAAAAATTCTGCCAACTTCATAATTTCAAGAACAGTAGTATTGCCCAACCATAAAGGAGAAGAAAAGGCAGAACTGGTACTGAAATCTCCATTCAGAATAGAATAAACTTCTCTTTCCATTCAAAAAAGGTACCCAATTTTAGGGAAATAAATGACTAATCAAAGATCTGTTGTATCATAAAGTTTAGAAATAGAATTGTAAAGATTGAACAAGACAATGGGGAAATCTCATGCCTTCAAGCATGGGTTTGAATTTCCCCAATTAAATTAGCCAAAATCCTTTTGCAGTATCTTCACCTAGAACCTACCATCTTTTGCAGTATCCTTTTGCAGTATCTCCAAAATCCATTTGGGGCAGAAGGGATTTGAAACATTGGACCAGAATAAGTTGAAATTTATAATTGAGAATATAAACCAATTAAAATCTTTCTAATATTCATCCATCTTTCAGTTACATATAAATATGCGAAACGAGTCCAACAGATCAAAGTAACTTCAGACATTGAATAATTTTCATATGATTCAATATGAACACATGGTCTCTAGGACGCAATTGGATTAGGAAACAAAAAACATCACCTTCTTGATCTTCCAACCATGCAATGAACAAGCACCCCACCACCCTCACTTTTGGCTTTATCCATGAAATTGAAGCACTCATCAAAGTACTGTCTCAAGTTTGTGTCTTCTTTGTCCATGACTACCTCAATTAGCATAAAAAACCAAAATATTATCACTTATACTTCAAAATAGTAAGATACTTACAAACATCAATGCTTGTGTACAATAGAATGCATGTTGGTTGAAAGAATAGGAAAATAAGAGGTAGGTGAAGAAATTATAATACTATAATTTCAGCAAGATCTAAAGAGTATTCAATTTAATAACAACGGATAAAACTGCATTGAACATTTAGCAGGATTTAACATGGATGGACGGCTTGAGCATAGAACAGAGACATGCATTTATGCAAGAATTGTTTTCGTTTTAAGCTGAAGATGTGGATGACCCAGTTAAAAAAGGACTTTATAGTGCACATCATCATAAAGATAAAAGTTATTGTTTCTCCAAACAGAAAATAAAAAATAAAAACAAAGCTGCTTAGACACATGAATATGCAAAGAACAGAAGGTAACAAGCCTGAATAACAGATAAAAATTTAACATAATGCTACTCACAATAAGAGAAAAACCTGTAGGGATATGTAGGTTCAGATGAAAACACATCCTACCTGGAATAATTTTGTATAAGAACTCATTTGGAAAAGCAGGTTGCAACGCATTAGCAACAGTTAAGATATGATTGATTTTTGAACTTTTAAGTGCAACCTTGTTTCTTGCTGCTCCAATAGAACCAAGAAAAAGACCCTAAGAATTGGAAAGGAGAACAAGCAAAAACCTTAGCAGGAAAAAATCAAGCACTTAACAAAGGCATAAACACAAACTTACCTTGTTCAACTAGAACCAAAATCTGATTACCTCTTCAATTTGGCAAGGAATATTGTCGTCTCGAAGGCTTCGCGTAACATTTATAACTCGCAAAAGTGCAGCCACTTTGTTCTTATAGGAATCCTCAAACTGTGCCATTGACAGATGGGAGAAATTCGGCCACTATCCTATTCTGTTTCCTCTTAAAACCAGGTAAAATATTGCAACAAAATGCCTGTTTCTCCTACAAGACGCAATTTCATTTTTAAACATCAAATGAAAGATCAGGCTCAGAAAATGCACCAATACCAACTACAACGTATCTGAATTAAGATTTCAACAACTTACCCAAAATCATATTGCACTCATATCATATCAAACAACTTACACAAATCATTTAGCTAACGAGTTTCAAAGAATTAGCTGACTTATGAGGGAGATTGATTGAAATGACTCAATAGCACCATCTAACAACAAGAATTGAAGTGCTACAATAAGGTCAATTGAGTATTAATTCAAACACGTTTGAGCCGATAGCATAGGATTTATCTCCAATAAAATCATCAAAGACAGGATTCTCTGTTCCCATAGTGCTTTAATGATCATTTATAAACAAACTTGAAAGTTAGAAATGAACACTGTCATCACACGTGAAAGATTAATCCATCCAAGGATCTTTTTCTTCTATTCTTCTTAGATCTTCTCAACAAGTGATCTCCAGGAAATATGAAACAAAATCATGGAAGCAAATACATGATTAGCATATGATCAAAACCCAAATCGACTCTACGAAGCAACGATCTGGTAATTCAGAAATAGCGGATTAACGCCACCAGAAGAGAACTTCTTGGATATTCGCAAGAATCCTATTAATTCTGCTAATTTCAAACGTGAATATGACAAAAGAAAAACTATAAAGGAGAAAGAAACAAAGATAAAAAGAAGAAGAAGAATAAAAGCTCACCCAGTCGACAACGAAGCGTAGAATTTGAAAGTTCGGACGCGAGAAAATACCAAGAAAATGAAACTGGCTTTTGGATCAGATGATGATTGAAATTTTTGAGTGCCGAAAGTTATTTGTCGCGGGAATAAGAGCCCTCCCCGGTTCGACCGGTCCACTATGGCTGGACCTTTCTTGGGGGAAAAAA